CAGTTCAGCCCCAACGTGCCCGAGAAGACCCTGGGCGCCAGCGGGCGCTATGAAGGCAAGATCGCGCGCAGCTCGGAGCGCTTCAAGGAGCTCACCCCCAACTACAACCCAGACATCATCTTCAAGGACGAGGAGAACACGGGCGCCGACCGCCTCATGACCCAGGTGAGCGCGATCTGCCCTCCCAGCGCGCCGCCGCCGAAGCACCGCCACCTGCCCGGCCCTCCCGCCGCCCTGGCACCTTTTCTCGACGGCCTGGCACGCCCCCTGGCACCTGCCCCTCTCGCCAAGCCCGGCCGCCTCCTCCCCAAAACGGGCCGGCCAGGGGTCCCGGCAAGGAGTGTCGGCGTCCCAAAGCCCGCTGGAGACGGCGAGAAGAGCTCCCCGCGGCCAAGCCCCGCAGCCCAGCAGGTTGGCGGCTGCTCCTTTGCCCCAAAGTGCTGGCTGCTCAGGCCAGACGCGGCGCCCGGAGGTACCTCGACCTGGCTGCCTGCGGCGCCTCCGGGACTCACGCAGTCCCTCCCGGCCTAACCTTCTGCACAGCCGCGCCCCTTTCATTTTGAAGCTATTCTGCACCCCGGAGGCGAAGAAGCGCTGGGCGCAGTGGGCCCCCACAGCCTTTCTTCCCCGCGCGCTCTTGGTTCGAGGCGCTGCCCCCTCCTGGAGCAGTGTGCCGGCGGGTCTGGGCTTAGGGAACCGCGAGGAAGAGTTGAAGGGAGGAGGGTTCGAGGTGGGATAGGTCACCCGCGGAGGAAGCCCACGTGTCTATCTCGAGGGGCTGAGCAACGCGCTGCGGTTAAGGGGCAGAGATACCGGAGTTTTCGGGCTCTGGGACCGAGTTTAGGGGATCCTTGGGCTTAGTGGCGGGGACGGGAAGGAGTGGAAGAGGGGCTGGATGCCGATAGAGACAGAGAACAGAGCTGCAGCTAGTCTCTGCACTCTCGGAACAAGACCTGCGCTCCGCCCAAGCGCAAGGGTGCAAACTTCCTGCCCTGCAGCAGGGTCCGCGAGGGAAAGACCTACGCCCCCTTCCTCTGGGGTCCCCCGAGGCTTCCCTCGCAAGCAGGCAGCTGGCTTTCTAGATCCTTTAGGAAGAGCAGCTAGACCACGGCCCTCAGCATGCGCTCTGGCGCCGGGGCTGGCCGGCTGGTGTCGGGGCCGAAGGTTGGCTGGTGGCCGGGCCGGGCTGGGCGCCGAGGAATGCAGATAAGGATCCGGGCCACGGGCTGGGC